AGACCCTCTCGTCTCTGCCCTCTGCCTCTAACTAGGTACAGGATACTATTTATTCCTGTCTCAATTAAACCTGCACCCCAATTTCTTATACAGGGACAGAAAGTGAAGGTAAATATCCCCAGCTGAAATTTCAAATCTTCCCAACTCTAGCCTAAAGAAAAAAGGTAAGACTGGAATTTGGCTTTAATATGTAAGTATTACTGTTGGCCTTAGAGAGAACCTGCTTACTGTAAGACCAACAGATGGTGATACACTGGGTAACATATCTGTAGTACTGGGGAACTTGACTCCTATGGTACAGAGTTAGCATGCAATACAGGGGACCTTTTGAATGTAGAACTAGTAGATGCCCCTCTGTCCACATTCAGTGTTCAAAACTTGAAATGGGTCAGCTCAATTTGTAACTGGACAGTTTTTTTCTGTCTTTTTTCTATTTTCTATCAGTTTTTTATAGGATTGGGTGAAGGTAATGCTGGGAGCTTATGTCCAAATTTCTCTATTCCCATGATACCCGCTCCTCTATGAATCAGTTTAGAGGTTAGGTATCACTGAATTGCCGTGGTCCAGTTCCCACACTAATAAAGAGGAACTTTACCTAAATCTTCAAAATAACAACAATCTGCAAACAGAAACGTATAGATAATTGCAGACTTTTCATTCTTTGCATGCCTTATTTTCTTTTCCTCCCCATTCTTATCACAGTGGCAATTTTCACTAAGGGCAGATTAATCCATCTCTCTTTACTTCCTGGAACTCTGACACATGTGACTAGGACTTATGACCATGCATATCATCTTAGGGGAGGAAAATGCCTTTCTCTGAGTTCTCATGAGATTACAGATGAGATTTCCCAGCAATGCTCTGCTGATGTAACTTTCCCAGGATGCAGTGCTTGGGCACAATTACATCATTTGTGCCCAAGTCGATCAGGAAGTAGAAAACAAATTGTAAGTCAAATAAAAATATGTTAGTTTAAATGAAATAATTGCAAACTAGTAGAATGGGAATTTGTGGATTCTATTAAAGAAAGAGGTATCAAAATTACTCTCCCAAAGTTACATTTATTTTATATTTTTAAAGCAATGGGAAGAACAAAGATTAGGAAACATTGGGATTTTAAATTTTCACGTGAAAAGGAAAAAAGTAGAAGTAATAGTATGATATTAAACTCAGAGTGCACTGCATTGGGTGGGGTGTTATAACTTTCCTTATTTTATTAGAATTGCATTTGCATGGTTATTGGTTACCCTCTAAGAAGAATGAACTTCTACAAGTAGTTCAAAGATATCTTTACGAGGGAGTATATTAAAGACTTGGAGACTCTTCTGGAAGCATGAAGATTTTGCATTCAAAGCTTCATATCATTTGCCTAGTATGGGCAATACTAGGTTTAAGCAGGGACTGATTTATAGAATGTTTGGGTTTTGGATTTTAAAAGGATTTACTAAGTTAGAAGCATTTATGGATAAGGAAGATATTAATCTTTATAAAGACCTAAGGGACACTCTTAATATAAGAGACACATTTATTTCCTGTATAGGGATTATATTATGAGGGTTAAACAGGAATACAGTAATACCCACAGTAAGATTAAGAGTAAGTTTATTGCAGTTTCCTCATTGAGGATATTTCCCTTCAACATCTGTTTGGTCACTAGATTAGGAAGTTGGCAACAAAATCCTGACAAAGGTCCCATCTTGTCCCCATTCTACACAAATCTATATAAAGAGGAATTAATTACCTCAAAGGCGTTGTCCAGCTTTAAAGCTAAACTCTGGACGGGAAAACATTTTTTTACAGTACACACTGTGAGAGTAAATGCTCATTTAGTCTAAGGGGGAGATGAAAAAATTGTAGTACTTACCTCAGCTCTCACTCTGACAGGCTCTGACATTCTCATCTGCTCTCTCATGCCCTGGGCTGTCCCTCAGTGAAGGCTTTACAGGACCCATCAAACAGATGAAGGGAGCCTTCTAAAGTCAGGGTTTAGGTAAGTATTACTCCTTATTCCTAACAAATCTGGCCTGCAAGTGGGTTCCTAGCAGCTAAGATAGCCCTGTTTGCAGATAACCTGTTTGCAGATACCCCACCACAGACAGCCTCGAGACATTGGTTGTCCCTTCTGCAGTTCTCTTTATAGTTGGGCTCTATGCCTGATAAAACAGCCCTGACATCTCACTTCACTCTTTTTGAGAGCTTGCTATTGCAGGACTCCCCTCTGACCCATTATGTGTCTCAAATGTATTCCACTCTGTTATCTTTTTCCTCCTCTGCTTTGCCCGCCTAAACCGCTGTATGAGAAAAGGAGCTTAATTATCCTTTAGATCCAGAAGATTGTCATATAGCTTTCATCCTTTTCCGCACATTGTCTATTGCCAGTAGCTCAAAAGAAACATTTCAAAATTTGGACCTGTTGGTACAGATGTCCAGATATCCTTTATCATTTCTACCCATCTCTTCCTAAGGACTGATATCACAGATCCATAGGCACAATGACTCACATTTCGTGGGAATGCCCTCCCATTAAATCTTTTTGAGATAATGTCTTTCCATCTATTTCAAAGTCACAGGAATGTATGTCCCTAATGGCTCTAAAATAACCTTGCTGTCTATGATACCGGGTTCTAACATATCTACTTTAAAAAATGTCCTTCGTAATTTCCTTACGGCAGATAGGGTCATCATCCCACTCCATTGGAGATCCTCTTGAATACCCACCCTAGCAGAATGGGTGGCTGAGTTGGAGTTGGTGGATGAATGTGATAAGTTGGAATAATGTATGATCACCTTGGAGGCATGAGAGGTGTTCCACTTTTCTCAGGAATGTTAGAGAAGATTTGGCCTTGACATGAGGGTAATTTCTGTTTTATATGGTGAGGAAAGGATTCCCATGTCCTTGTTCTCCATTCTCTGCTTTTTTCCCTGCTCCCCCCTTTTTTACCTTCTCCTCTTCCCTTTCTCTTTCACTTCTCCTCTGTTCAACTGTTTTATATTCTTTTGGGTGTGTTTTTTTATACCCTTTTAAGATATTACACAATAGGCCTGTAAGGATCGCGGCACGTCCGTGTCTTCCACGCTGGAACGCAGCCACAAACCAGGAAGTCCTGAAGGAGCCGATGCGTTCCAGCCTGGGACGCATCGGCCCGATGACGTCACTGGCACCTCCTCGTTCCTTCCGCCTTAAAACGCCGGCAGACAGTCAGCTCAGTGTTCCACTATAGCTACTGTGGAGTGAGCACCTGCTGACTCTGCCGGCCATACGAACCCTGGGACCCCTAACCTGGAGAGAGAGAGACAAAACTGAAAGCGGATCAGGACACTGCAGCTTCCCCCCTGCTCTGGGACAAACAGAGAACCCTACAAACAGCAAGTATCTGTATCATCTATTACTGGAGTCGGCTCCATCTGCTGGTTACTTCTATATTACATCTACTTGTCAGCACTCTACCATAGGAGAACTGTGAACTGCAATTACTTAATATATATGTGTACGGGAACCTTGCCTATTTACTGATTCACTTCATACTGCATGTATGCTCAAAGTATAATCCTGATCTAACTCCTGCTAGGTATAGAAGACTGTTCAGATATTGAACCTCAGAAATCAATTGCCTTGAATGACCTCTCTTCTTTCATAAGAAAGTTTAAATCTTCTTTTCCTTTTACCCTGCGTATGCTGGAATATACGTACTGGTTTCTAATCTACCCTCTTTTCTTCACGGTAAATGATGGTAGGACTCCTAACTCTCAATTGACAGAGAGAGAGACGCCAGGAGTCCGACACTGAATACCGTTTATACTAAACTACCTGCTTCTTTAATTGTTCCGCAGCTGAGATTCTCCCCTGTCTGGCCAGGCCCTCACAAGGCCTTTCTGGGCCAACTTGTTGCTAATATGTTTCTTTAATTTTCTAGGATTCACAGATGTAAGATGGTGCTGTTTTGTCATGCTCTCCCCTGTTCGTCTGGTCCCTCACTTGGTTTTGCATGTTTTGCATATTTACATGATGTGCTTTTTCTACTAATGCATTTCAGTTGGGGGTATAGATTTTATTGATACTACTATACCCTTTTCTTTCGGTGTTTTTTTTTTTTTTGTGGATATTCCTTTATTTTTGTACACATACTGTTTATTGTAACTGACTCCTTCAGCCATGCTGAGGTTACTTATTGGTTATGACCATGATGGTTATTGTTGTGTGTCTATTGTTTTGTACTTTAAAATGTCAATAAACTTAGATTGCACAAAAAAATGGGCATTTAACACTTGCAGTGCTGGGTGCCCACTACAAGGGTATTTTTTTCAGCCAAGAGTTCTGTTTAATGGGCAGATCGGTCTTTGCTACTGCAAATCGTTGCTGGACTTAAAAGAGCATTATGGGGTGAGTGAAAAACACTCATCCCCATAATTCAAGCTGACCTGTGACACTGAAGCTCAAAGTTCGGCTCTATTGATCAGGAAGTCAGGGAACACATACTGCTGATCGCTGTCTTCCTGATCCTCTTCCTGCATTCTCCCCTCTATGTTTCTCCAGTGCTGACTGGAGGAACGGATGGGGAGGGGTGGGCACAACTGGCTCTGCCTCAAGAAAAGCAGAGCCAGCTGTCAGTCAATAGCCCGCTATACACTGAGTTTTGGTTCAATGGAGGACATTAGTGTATGTCCTTGTGTGACCCTGAAGAGAACTATGGCCAAAACGGGTAAGGCCATAGTTCTCTTTTAAGTGTTTCCTAGCAGCCCATCATAGGTTTCCTAAACAGTAGCATTAATATACCTTCATTATTTTACCTATGAATCTAAAAGGATAACTTAAACAATGCACATTTATGGACCAGGACTAAAAAACAATTTTACGCAATTTAATATAATTTTACGTTTGGTTATTTAATACAGATATGCAAACAGCATTGCACATAATTGCATTTGGCTAATTACATTAAAACAGCTGTTAATAGTGTGCCTATTTTAATGATACAGTATTTAATTTGAAATGCCAGTCACACATAAGAGTTGCTCACCATTTCTTTCTTTCTCTAAAACTTCAAATACGGCGATTTAACTCCATTGTGTCTTTGGAGAGATAGACCACCCAGTATACTAAATTAAATCCTGCAAATGCCAAAGGAAAGAGTATTCTGGCATACTGGTCTATTTTACTAGTTCCACTATGAGGACTTGATGAGATTCCAAGTTGTGTGAGGTCTGCAGCAGGAACATCAGTCTGTTGACAATATGTTGCTCCATAGGGTGGTACATTGTCTTCAAGTGATACATCGCCTTGAGAGATTGCCATTGAGTTAATTCTTTTCTTTAAGTTGCAGTTGGAATCAGAATGCTGCAAACATAAAATAGTTTAAAACAACCATAACTATCTTTTAAACTTAAGATACAAAATTATATAATAAGAAGTAGTTTAATAGATGCATATGAATTACTATTTACATGTATTTTTACATGTTTATAACATTTTTAGGGGTTTATAATGAAAATTTTTTTTACAGATACACATTTAAAGCAAATACATCCATGATACAGTACTTGCACAGCCTGCTGGGCGTCACTAGTGCAACTAGTCTGCACTTATTTGTCTGTTTCTGCACGCTGAAGGTCTAGATGGACATAATCTCTGCTATGACAGGAGTAGAATAAGTTACTCAGCTAAATATTTTACCTGTGTGCAATCTGATATTTTGCCATTCAGCTCTTTATTAACAGCATTAATATAAAATAGTTATCTGAAACCCTGTAGTACTAGACTTGCACTGGAGAACTCGACTCATAGAACATTTCTTATTTATCTGGTTAAATACAAAATATAGAAAATCTAAAATTTTCCTTTCATTATACAAATGCACACATCAACATGCAGCATAATGCACGTTGACACATCAAAACACATATAAATGCATCACAATGCGCATCAAGGCTTGGGTGGTGCATTGTATATTAATGCACTTTAAAAAAGAATTGTCCCTCATGCCTGTTCCCTTATTTCACATTGCCAACTATTCTAAGCAATAAAAGCTGTCTATAGAGTCCTATATATAAACCCACTCCACAAAAATACCTATACAAGTAAGAAATATTAAAAGAAATAAAAAATATTTTAGGTGTGAATGGGAACACATAACAAACATAAAATTGGGATATTTCAAATATTTACAAGGGTGGAAATACACTTTAAAGTAAAACCGATTGATTGGTTTTCAGGTTCATGCAAAGTTCATTATTGTAGAATAGTATGAGGAAGGGAAGGAGTAATGTGTATTTGTTTTGTATTAAAGATTTATTTAAAAAGCAACATTTTAACATCTTTTGAAGGTGCATTTTTTTTGCAAGTACTTGACCCGTACAATGGGTGAGTGAGTAACAAATGTTGTGCCCCAACCAAAACAAGTGCAATCATGCATCTGCCTCTTCCTGAAAGTGTCCTTCTGCACTTGGCTCATGTTTTCAGAGGGTCCTGATTTTTTTTCCAATTTATCAGCTACATGCTAAAGGACAAAAAGACTGTTATCAACATAATATTTTCTTTATCCCTCTTGCCCTGTGCTTACCAGGCAGCATTCTTGGTTTGCCAGATTTGTATTTTTTTGGTGTATATATACATTGTTTGCTTTGTTTTGCATAATGCATATAGATGTAAAATAGATCACCTTGCAGTAAATAATGTTATTAGTGTGTGGTATTTAAACACATTGTTTCTGTTTCTAGTTTGTAATTATATAGCTACATGGGGCACCTTTGCAACTTGCTTTGCAATGGTACACCAATAGTTGTGCCAGCATGTTTTATCTTACAATGCAAGTCTGAGTTGGCAGACTAACCGGAAACAATGCTCTGCCTGGCTGATATCTTATCTCAGCAGTTGTTCATCAGACCTGGGAGACATTAAAAACACATTTGAAACACATGATAAACAAACATAGGGGTTTATTCACGAAGCAGCCGAAGGATCTAACCGTAGCTTCGGCCGATCCTTCGGCTAGCTTCGGCCCCAGGACCCCTTTGGTTCAGTAGAACCGAAGGGCTGCTGTACGGGCTATTCACCATAGCCCATACAGCTCCCGACCGTACCGGCCTGAAGTGAATAGCCGAACAGCATTCGGCTCACTTTGCTTTAGGTCGGTCTACGGCAGCTGAGTGAATACACCTCATAGTTGGGCACAGTAATAACCCTTTTTTCTCTGGTCAGCTGCAAGATCCCCATATTCCTAGTTGACTATGAAAAATATTAGAATAGCTTAAACTTTTAACCCCTTCATGACGGGAGACATACAGTGTACGTCCCGGCACTTTGTGCCTATATGACTGGCCACGTACACTGTACGTGACGAGTTATATCAGGCTTTGTAAAGCTGGTACCGTAACAGCTGATTCTCAGCTGTTACCAGTCATTAATGAATGCCTCAGTATTGAGGCATTCATTCGTGAAATAATTAAGCTTTTTGTAAAAGCTTCTTCCTTTCATTACTGAAAGAATGAAGCCGTTACATGCAAATACAGGATCGCAATTTGCGATCCTGTAGTTGACAGCTGAAAATAGCGGAGAGGTAGCAGTGACTCACCTCTCTGCTATTTGTTTTGACAGCTCGAGAGCCCGATGTTTAGATACATTTCACTCAAAAGATACAATGTATATCTTTTGAGTGAAATGTATCAGTTCTGATTGTCTAGGCACGATCAAAGAGCTTTTAGTGAGATCTGAATCTGACTAAAGTCAGTATCAGTCTCTAAGGTTATTATTAGCTGTTCCTAAGTTTGGAACAGCCTAATAGCCAAAAATGTTTTAAAAAAATGTTAATTTATCAAGCAGTCATAGTGACTGCTTGATATAAACTGACAAGAAAAAAATACGTTTAAAAAAAAAAAATTTTTTACAAAGTGTAAAAAAATTAAATAAAGTGTAAAACAAAATTAGGAAAATAGAAATTATATATAAATATATATTTTATACTATAATTAATATAAAAAATTCTTTAAAAAATAATAATAATCAAAACATATGAAACAAAAGTGTTTTCTTCTAGTTTTTTTCTTCATTTTTTTATTTTATTCAAACTAAGTGAGGGGTTAGGTACACATATGTGATATAATTATATAGCCCTATCTGTCCTCTAAAAAACAATATATAATATGTGTGGGTACATTTAGTAAGAAAGTATATTACTGCTGTGGAAGAATCACACAGCAAAAATGTAAAAAGTGTGTCAGTCATTTATGAACAGAAACTGAAAACTAGCTCAGTCATGAAGGGGTTAAAGATCTTTTCACTGGCAGAGATCATGCTTATTTTAGGTAAGTGCATATATACTGTAGAAGTTTAGTACTTGAAGTGAAATGCTTGTGCCAGTGCATGTAAAACCCTTTCATGCCAGCTGTTGTTACTAGTTAGCAGCAGTTAGTATTTTCAAAATCGATTCTCTACTTGTTAATAGCCATGCGTTATACTAGATCGTAAGCCTAGACAACAAATAGACATAATGCATTATTATTTCCATATGATGCAATTGGAACAATGCATATAATACATTAAAGTAGTAAATACACTTTAGTTGCAAGCAATGTACATCAGCTGATATTGGCAGAGTTTGCTGGTTTATTAAAAAAAATTATTTCAAATATTGAAATGCATGCTAATAGAAAGCATTATGTTTAATGCTAACACATCTTTAAAGCCAAATCATAGTTACCAATAACATGCTCAATGAGAAACAAAATGTCTCTCTAATGATGTGGCTACATTTGTTCCAGGTCTAACTGCAATTTTCTAATGTGACTGTTGATGATTAATTGTTCTGTTTGGCAGACCAAAATAGTGTTTTCCAAACCTCATTATTTTTTATTATGATTTGCCATGCTTGGACCCACAACCGTCTGTGGTCCATAGCGTTATTCCTTTTTTTATAGACTGTAATGGTGATAGAGCATTTGGCATGATTGGTAAGTTGATTCAATGAAATGGGATTTTATCCAGTATCATCTGAATCACTGGCTCAGCCAGCAAATACTGTTACAATATTTTAGGAACTTATAGAATTTTCATGGCAGACAAAAGATCAAGTTGAGATTATCATTAAGTATCATGTAGAATTTCTAGATCATGTATAAATATGTACATGCTACAAATACATATGCCATTTATTGGTCAGAATTATCATTAGTGTTTTTTAGGGATGCACCGATATATCGGGCGCCGAAGCTAAATGCCGAAAGTGCCATTTCCCTGCTGATACATTGGCACATCCCTGCTTTCTTTCCTCCCCGCTGTGACAGACAGCTGAGCGCTGTGGGAGGAGAGCGCTGTGAGCGACCGGCGTCTCTCCTCCCACACCGCTCAGCCTCCTGTCACAGTCCGAAAGAGCGGTGTGTGGGCGGAGATAGCATACGCTGTCACAGGAGGCTGAGCTCCTCCCGCACCGCTCGCTCAGCCTCCTGTGACAGCTGTCAGAAAGGAGAGCCAATCCAAACACTCAGCGATCTGTGAACGCTGAGTGTTTGTACATAATTGAGGACATGGTATGTTTACTATATCCTCAATTATGAATGCATGGGAAGTGATCTACATCACCTCCTGTTCATTCATGATTGTGGTTATAGTAAACATACTCTGTCCTCAAGTTATGAATGAACAGGAACACTCAGTATAGATGATTCCTGTTCATTTATAACAGGGGCTGCAGAAAAAGAGATTGAGGACTGTGTTAGGGGACTCTGTTTAGACCCCTAATAATTCCCCAAAGCCCCTAAAAGTAAAGTAAAACATAAAACTATTTAATAAAAAATTAATGAATAAAATAAAATAAATAAATATAAAAAATAAAAGTTTATAAA